TTGCTAAAAAAAGACAGCGTTTTATTAATAAATTATCGTAGTAGGGCCACAAATAAGATCATTTTCTTATAAAATTGATCTCCTTTAAAATTATTAAGATCGCTTTTATGATAAAGTGTTTTTCTTGTTTTTTTTAATAATGTCAACAAATAATCAAACATCTAAAAAAATCAATTTTTGTATAATATACACATTCATAAAATAATGCATTCATAATACAATTCATAAAATAATGCATTCATAATACAATTCATAAATACATAGGTATATCACGAAAAATTAAGTAAAAAAATGAAGTTATAAATCCTAAACAACTAGTTGGAAAATTTAAAGTCTTCAAGTAACACTTTCTTCTCAACTAAATAATTTTGTACAATACCATACTTATTGATAAATTTTGAATATTTCCAATCTTTAACGCGCTTTAACACGTGTAGGGATGTGTTTAGTTGTTGGGTCTTAAATATCATCTTACTATAAATATATGAATCGAGCTAAATAGAAATATCAAGACTTTCCACTCACTTTCTTTGCGCTTATTTTCTACTCGCGGATCACTTAACATAATAATATCCATCGTTAGAAGTAACTTTAACACATTTAGTGAATGTGATGTCTCATTTTAACTCATGAAAATTTGTCTTAGCTAACAAGTATATATAAAACTCTAGTGAAAAAATATTTATTTTTCATTGTAGTAGCTCACAATATACTTATAAATTTTATGATGTAACAAGATATTACAATCACCCATAATATTAAGGTTATCTTAAACGGTGAATGTTATATTGTGTTAAGTGATAGTGAATAAGAGAAGTTGTGAGTCTTATTAAAGTTATTTCAACAAGAAAAAATAGAGTAGGGAGTCATGATGTTTCTATTTGACTAAATTAGGTATTTACGATAGCGTAGAGTTCTAAAGTCAATTGAGGCGGAAAAATTAGAGTTGAAAAGAAACTAAACATGCAACAAAAATTAGAATTTGAGATCCATCAATTAAAACAAATTATTTTGTGTTTTTGCCACTGCATGCCTTCTAATTTTATTCCTGAAATATTATTTGAGTTAAATATAGGACTTTATGCAAAAAAAAAATTGAGAGCATTAACACTCTCCATTTTTTCATGTGATTTTTGCACTGTTATAATCATATTGGATTTTAGGAATGAAGAAATCACGTAAGAAAGACAAAACACGCGGGTAGGGAGTGAGTTTCCCTACAAAGCTAGAGGCCACCTAAAATGGACCATGAGGTCGTCTAGATCTTGATGGCAGTTTACCAGTTCGTTTAGTTCACCTTAATTGACTCTCATTATCCACTTGTCCAATAAACAAAGGAGATGACGTGTCTCATTATAACATGACTAGAATGGACAGTCAAAGAGGATAATCGTCACTCCCGTGATTTAAGGAAGAATAAATCTCTTATTCCACACATTTCTGAAGAAGGAATGGAGATAACCGCTATTTAGCCCAGAATCAAGAGATCTCTCTAAATATCTCAATTTTAAGGTTGAGGGGGTGAAATTATTTTCACTCAAAATTAGATATACAATGTTGGAACAAAAATGGTTGATGCCATATCCCTTGAGTTTTGTATGACAACAAAGTATTTAAATAATATTTGGGTATTCTAACATCTGTTCAAGTATGCAGGATTATAAGACAGAGAATATATGAAGAGAAGCTTAACGATTCTGAATCTGATGTTCAGACTCTGGCTCTGAAGATCACTTATGAAAACTCTGGCTTTGATGGAAGATCCAAACTCTGAAGAAGTCAGCTCTGAAGAAAGTCAGTCTCTGATGATTCAGACTCTAAAACTTCAGAAACCGAGAAGTAGACCCTAAAGAGATCAGCCTCTAAAGAGTGAAGTCTAAATAAAGTTAACCTCTAAAGCATGATCTCTTCAATCGAGGAAACTCTGACAGACTAAGAGACCTTTTGGCTCACGTGAAGACTTATGGAAAAATATCTTCTTTATTGTCTGAGCTTCAACAGATAATTCCTCTTTCAGAAAGGTGCTTTCTTGATGTGTCTAATCAAGTACAAAGTTATCCAAACTTTTTGGCGAAAGTCTTTAACATTTATTTTTATCTTCTCTATATAAGGAGCAGAAAACCCGAAGAAGAAGACTAATACAATACAACACATTGCAGAACAAGACTCTGAATCTTGCCATTTCAAAGAGAAGTCACTCTGTCAAAATTTCTAGACTTAGAACCTCATAGCACTTTATATATTTTAGAAGTTCTTAAGTCTTAAATTATTTCTAAGTTGTATTCTGTCTACACCTATGATTGTATATGAAGTGTTGTTGTTACCTAATTCTTTTAACAGTTTTTTATAAAGTCAAAAGTATCTTGTTTTAGTGCTTGAGCATTCGAAGTCTCTTGCCTGTGTGCTTGAGCATAGAAGTCTCTTACTTGAGGGTTTGAGCATTAGAAGTCTCTTACTTGTGTGCTTGAGCGTAGAAGTCTCTTACTTGTGGGTTTGAGCATTGGAAGTCTCTTACTGGTGTTTGAGTATTTGTAATCAGTTTGGTTATCTTGAAAATCCCTTGGAAGTGCAAGAGGACTGGACTACTCTTAATTTGTGAGAGGAACCAGGATAATTTGTTGTGTCTTTACTTTTACTTTCATTACTTTTGTACTTATCACTCCTTTGCTATCATCTTTGCAACTCTGAGTCAGATTTTGGTTCAAAATCTAATAAGGTCTTTCAGAAATACATGTAGTAAACCTGAGTCAAACTTTTAGCTAAGTGTTTAGAATCTGATTGAGATCCATCAGAAGTAAAAAAAAAAAAAAAAAGTCAACACAATTCAACCCTTCTTCTTGTATTTTTATCACCTTCTTACAAAACTTCTTTTCACTCTGCGTGAATTATTTCTCAACACCATCGATAACTCTTAACACCATAAAAAAAACATTCTAATTACTAAATACAGAATTAACCCCATTATATTTTTTTTAGCAAATTTTAAAATAACATGCGAACTAAAAGGAGAAAGATTTCTTTTAAAAGTGTTCTCCTTTTAAAAGCGTTTTTTTAAATTAAAAAAATACTTTCTGTATGTTTAATAGTTTGAGAAGCTCTTAAAACTCAAATTTATCCTAGGGTACATACTACTCTGAAATTATCGAAATCTTTTTAAAACAATTTACACAATTCACAAATATGAGAGATCAATTTTTTTTTTTAATTCTTGATATTTGATTTTGTGAACAAACTAATTTAAGAGAATCAATTTTATCATTTATTTATAAAAATTTTATTTAAAACCAAAACAAAATTCGGTATAGACTCGGTCAAACACAAAAATTATTTATATTTATCATAATTGAGATATAAAACTTTTAGAAGAACATATTCTCATGATTCAAGTCTTGGACTCGTATTAAAAAAAAGTTAACTAGAGTTTTAAATGTACTATTTAATATAAAAATTAGTTTTTATAAAATGTTATATATTTAATATATTAAAAATCATAGTATTAAACTTTTCTAATAATGTTGGAATTCTTATTTCTTAACGCGTGCTTTTAGAAAGCGTGTTTATTTAATTAAACAAATACTATATTACTACAATACTATTGGACTCCGTCAAAGATTGACTGCACTTTGACTATTAAATATATGTGATGTGATAATAAAAAGTTTAACGAGATTCTATCAATAACTGAAGTATTTATTGGTCTCAAACCCCACCGTTAAGTATTAATAAGTGTGAGTAGGGTAGATAATAGTCTCACATTGAATAGAAATGTTGTGACTTGAGCATTTATAAGTGAGAGAGTCCATACACCTATCACCTTAAGGTTTTGGGTGAGTATGTGGTGTGTCGCTCTAGAAAAAGTCTCACTTTGTTCAATGCCCATAGGTCGTGGGTTGAGTATCTCGTTGAAGAATCTTAAGTGAGAGAACCCATACACCTATCACCTTAAAATTTTGGGTGAGTATGTAGTTGAAAGTTCAACAAAATATAACCATTTTTGTAGACATTATAATTAATTCAAATCATTTTACTCATTTTTTATATATAATTTAAATTCAAATTTCTTTTACTTATTTTAGTCACATATTAACTTGAAGCTAACTTTACAAATCTCTCTCTCTCTTTCATGACATTTTAAGAAAGAAAAATACAAATATTTAATAAGTAATCATATTTCTTTTTAAAATTGAACAAGTCAACAAAAACAAAATATATGTAATAATGTGTTAACTTTATTTATTTTAAAATTTGGTCTAATTATAATTTTTTTTCCTCCTAAATAGTTTTAATCTCTTTTTATTTTTTCGCATTGAAATTCTGATAAAATATTCCTTTTTAAATTGATATTTTTTATTTAGAAAGTTTACAAAATTATATAATAATTTATTACATTATACAAGTGACACGTTAGTTAAAAATTAAAATATTATTAATTTTAAATACAAAAATATAAAAAATATTTAAATTTAAAATATGAAATTAATTTCATAATCAAATCAAATAGGAAATGTTTGAATAATTATTTTTAAAATGTTATTTTATATTTTTTATTATTTTATAAAAAAATTAGATATTAAAATTTCAAAAAATTAATTAATTTTAAAGTTATTTCAAATACTCTTTCATAAAAATTATTTTTGAGATAAATTTTTTTGAAAAAAAGATAATTTTGATTATATTTTGATTTTCAACAATGTATGTTTTATCTCAAAATTAGTTTTTTGATTTATAAAAAATAAATTTAGAAAAATCTATAATATTTTTAAAAACATTTTTGTAAAATCAATTTTCAAAAATATTAAAAAAAAAAAAAAGCATTCTTTTTAAAGTTAAAATAAAGTGAGACTCAAACAAAAGACTTTTCTATTTTCTAAGTTCTCATCTCCACCAATGAACACAACTCAAAATATTTGTCATCATCACAAACATACTCTTCACAATTCTATAAACTCTTGTTCTTCAATTCCATACACCACACACACACTCTCAACCCTAAAAAAAACATGAAACCATTGATGAACTTCAAAACCATAATCATCACCCTCTTCTACTTTTCCATCTCCCTCTTTCCCCTTCAAGCCTACGACCCGGTTGACCGTTACACCCTCAATTGTGGCACAACAGGAAACTCTACCGACGGAGTAAGAACATTTACAGGAGACACAAACTCAAAACTTTTGTTATCATCACAAAACAACAACCCAACAACAATTTCTGTTACAACAACACCACAAAAACCTTCCATCAACAAAATCCCTTATTCAACAGCTCGTTTATCACAGTCAATATTCAACTACTCTTTCCCAGTTACTAAAGGTCCTAAATTCCTCCGTCTTCTTTTCTACCCTTCTACCTATTCCAACGGTTTCAACCGTTACGATGCTTCCTTCACCGTTATATCTAACGGATTCACACTTCTTAAGGATTTTAATGCCTCACTAAACGCTGATAATGAAGGTGTTGATACTATATTCAACGAATATGTTATCAACGTTGGTGATGATCAAAGGCTTGATTTGAGTTTTATTCCAAGTAGTGGAAATTCTAATAACTATGTTTTCATTAATGGAATTGAAGTCTTATCCATGCCTGATGATCTCTATTATACACCAACCACTGACCCTGGTTTTTCACTTGTGGGGTCCACTATCATACCAGCATATAGTATTTCAACCAACGTTGCGCTACAGACAGGTAACAACAGTTAAATTAGCTTTGAGTTTATTATCATATATAAACTTGCAACTACTTACAAGTATATATAGTACTAATTCTATGAGTAAAATTCTTCCTATTTTTACTTTCAATAACTCTTTTTAAAAAATTAAATTAAATCAAACAATTCGAATATACGGTGTTATATATTATATTAGTTGATATGTACAAATATTTTAAATAATTTATTATAGTTGAAATAAATCAATGGGATACTACAAAGAAGTTTCAATCAGTTTTTATCTCTTCCTAAAAATAGTAAATACCATTATTTAAATTTGTTTTACTTGTTTTTCTTTTGTCTGCATTCAGCAAAAAAAAGAATACTCTAATTTTATCAATTAACGTCTTAAAAAAACTTGTTAATTTATGGGAACACTATTGCAGAATACAGGATCAAAGCTGGATTGCTAACAAACTCACTAAATATTCTAGACATAGGCATGCTGAGAAACTGGAACGAAAACGACGACGACTATTTAAGAACACCAACATCATTCGATTTTATCTCTGAAGACACATCAGGTAGAATGAACATCACAGTAACTCCCGATTACATGGCACCCAAAGACGTCTACAGATCATCACGTGATTTGGGCACCAATGCCACTCTCAATAAACTCTTAAACCTAACTTGGGAATTTCCTGTTGATTCCGGCTTCTATTACATGATCAGGCTCCACTTTTGTGAACTCGACCCCAGCATAACTACCGTAGGCGATAGAGTCTTCATCGTCTATTTACAAGGAAACGTGGCGGAGGATCAGGCTGATGTTATGAAATGGACCCTAAATCAAAGAGGTCTTGCTGTGCATAGAAACTACGCCGTTTCCGTTCCGAAGAGTAATAATAGCAAGAAAGTTAAGCTGTCTATTCAAATGCATCCGTATGGTGATGGTAGAATCTCCCGATACAGTGACCCGTTTTTAAACGGACTTGAAATTTTCAAAATCAGTAACATCGGTTTGAAGAATCTAGCTGGACCCAACCCGGATCCGGTTCAAAATCCGAATAAATTTCAAGAGAAAAAAACCATAAGTGGAACGACAATATCCCACGTCTTTTTGGGAGTTGTATTCGGTGTCGTTTTTCTTTCTTTTGTTGTTTTATTTTATTTTATGCAAAAAAGAGAAACCAAAGCGAAAAAGGCTACAACCAACACTCAAATTTCACCCCTACCTTCAGGACTCTGCCGCAGGTTTTCCCTCCGCCAGATACGCGCCGCGACGAACAACTTCGATGAACTCTTCATCATCGGCGTAGGAGGATTCGGCCACGTGTACAAAGGCTACATCGACAACGGTTTAACACCGGTCGCAATCAAAAGACTCAAACCGGGTTCACAGCAAGGAGAAAACGAGTTCCTCAACGAGATCGACTTGCTCTCAAACCTCCGACATGTTCACCTTGTTTCTTTAATTGGTTACTGCAACGATAACAACGAAATGATAATCGTCTACGATTTCATGACGCGTGGAACTTTACAAGATCATCTATACAACACAGATAATCCAGTATTATCATGGAAACAGCGGTTGAAGATTTCAATAGGTGCGGCGCGTGGTTTACACTACCTTCATACAGGTGCGAAACGAACGATCATTCACCGTGACATGAAAACGACAAATATTCTATTGGATGAGAAATGGATAGCGAAGGTTTCTGATTTTGGGCTTTCTCGAATTGGGCCTACAGGTATATCAAAGTCCTATGTTAGCACTGTTGTTAAAGGTAGCATTGGTTATTTAGATCCTGAGTATTACAAACGACTGCGTTTAACTGAGAAATCTGACGTGTACTCTTTTGGGGTTGTTTTATTTGAGATACTCTGCGCACGGCCACCTCTGATTAGAACCGCCGAGAAAAATCAGGTGTCACTTGCAGATTGGGGGAAAAATTGTTATAAAGATGGGACCCTCGAGAGTATCGTGGACCCTTCTATTAAAGGGAGTATAGCGTCTGAGTGTTTGAAAAAATTCAGTGAAATTGCGGTTAGTTGTTTGTTAGACGATGGAAGGATGAGACCGTCGATGAACGACGTCGTTGGGACGTTGGAGTTTGCGTTGCAGTTACAAGAGACTGCGGAACAACGTGAACATGTTGCTGTTGAGAATGATGACGTGGAAGTTGGTCGGAAAAAAGACGAGGATGATGTGTTTAGTGTTAGGAGTGCAACCTATTCGGGAAATGTTTCGAATTTTAATAGTAAGAGTGTTGCAGTTAGTTTAGAATGGAGACAGTGTTTGCTTTAGAATCAAGTGAGTGTGATTACTGTCACGGCCACGAGTCTAGAAGTTACAAAAACATGTAGCGATTAAATTTTAAAATATGTGTTTATTTTTGTTTTGTTTGTTTGAGATTCTAATGACGTACTCTCTTGGTTTTAAAATAAAAGTTTTTTTAATAAAAAAAAAATTGTTTTAAAATAAGAATTTTTTGTAAAGTTTTTAATGCAAAATTAATTAATTGTTATTAACTTTATTTCTAATAAATATTGTTTACACAACTTTTAAGATATTGCATCTTTTTTATAATTTTATAACAATCAATACTCTCTTCATCTCAAAATAAGTTGACCTATTTAAAATTAAACAAAATAAATGATAAGAGTACTTTAGAGTCTGTATGAAATATTCTCTCTCTTTCATTTATTTTTTTTCTTTTTAATATGTATGAAATAGTCAACCGGATCACTCATTGTGGGACGAAGAGAGTAATAATTAAGGGCAATTTTGTAAAATTGTTATATTTAATCATTTAATCATTACTTTTCTTAATCTATGTGTAACAACTTTAAAAAACTTTCATTTTGAGACGAAGGAATTAAACTTGTATAAGAGTGTTGACTCCTAATTTCGACGCCTAAGTAGAGATAAAAATAGTGAATAGAGTTTCCTGGGAAAATCTAATTACTTCGACTAAAATTATATTTTATGGAATAAGAGTCGAAGACGACTTTTTTCGTTAGGAGGTTCTATGTTATGGACTTGGAGACATTCCTCAGTAGTTGGAAGACTCAATTCGACAGAAGTATTGTTTAAGGGCATTTCGATGAGTTCGTTTGAATTCAAATAAAAGAGGGAAAGTCTGATTTTTAGAAAGACACGTGGAGTGTCCCTATAGTTCGAAGGCATGTGCAGCAACACTTGTCTTGATTTTATTTGTTAGCCGTTTATGGCGGTTATGTTCGATGGTTATAAATAGCGAGTCTTAGTGTTAAGATGTGAGTGTTCAATTGTGTACAAAATCTTCATCTACTCTAAGTATCCGTGTGATTGAGAGAAAAAAGTTGTGAGAATGTACGTTGACTAAACACCAGTTTTTATTTCAATGCAACACTTCTTTTATTTAAGAGTTTACTTTTCTCTACGCAAGTTATTATCCTTGTTATTTATCAGCATTTTACTTCCTTTTGCCGTTACTTAAATTCATTAATACTTGAAATAAGTTGCCTTACCATGGAACTCGTCGAAGTGTTCATAGTTTTCATACACTTCATTTAAAAGACCAATTAACACATGTCCTAGGATTTGTGTGGTCGATCCTGCAAGTAACACAAATCTTTTTTGATTTGTTAGACCGACGGTTGTTTGCCAATTTTCACGACGAACAAATTGGCACGACCAATGAGATAGTGCTAAGCGGTTACAAAAATCGTTTTAAAGAAAATTCTCTTTGAAAAAAAATTTTATTAGTTATGTGGTAAAAAAAATTTCTTTTGAGGGAAAAACTTCGTTGCATGTTATTGAGAAGTGGTGAGGAAGCCATTGTTGACGAAGATAGACCAAAAAGGAGATATAGGAGGAGAATGATGATGAATCTAAACCAGGCAAATAATCCTCAGGATGTCTCGAACGACAATGTAGAACAACCCTTAGGAGCTTCGATAGGGGGACCAACGGTCTCAACGTTTGTTTCTGGGGCAATATCGTATATGGGAAGTTCGATGCACACACATTCGATTTTCCACACGCAACCTATTTTGTCTTACATTGGGCCAAGGGATCCTCCATAGATCCCACCACCAATAGGGATGTCGAAATATAGAGGCATTTCTCCCCCGGGATTTTCATTGATGGCAAACTTACAAAATGCCCCTCCGTTATATACAGAATCCGTAATGACTTCGCCATTACAGGGATCTGGCACTGGGGTAAATATGGGTCAAAATAGTCATAATTTAGGTATAGGGTATTCAGCCCAGATTCCAAGTTTGACGACTAATTATGCATCTTATTTGAGACAACAGATGGACTAAAGTAACCATCAAATGGTTCAGATGATGTCTCAAACTATGGGGGGAATCTTTCAGCCCCTCATCCGGAACAATACACAAGTCAATCAACAATTGGCAGCACAAATGACGCACCTGGCGGAATTCTTGGGTGTACCAAATCCCCCTCGACAACCACCGAGGGAGTATCTTAGAGAAAATCAAGGAGTAGTCTTCGGCGAAGACAACACCATCAATCAAATTCCACAAAATCTGACCCAATCAAATCAAAATAACCAGGGAATGGTCGAACAACCTAGAATCGAACCTCTTAGGAATCAACCACAAGTTCCTAGAAAGGAAGAATCAAGGGTAGTATTGGTAAATAGGAACCAGGTTGCTGAGAACGTTGTACAACAAGTTCGACGCAACAATCTAGCAGCATACAATAATTTGGCTGCCATGGTCGAAAGAATCATGACACGTAACAGAGTAAATTTTGGCCTTGGACGACCAAATTACACGTCACCATTATCAGAGTATATCCTCCAGGTAGACTTGCCCCCAAGAACAAAAGTCTCCAAGTTCACTAAATTTTCTGAGGATACTACTGAGTCTACTGTCGAACATGTGGCTAGGTATTTGATAGAAGCGGGAGACAATTCAAATGATGAGAATCTTAGGGTCAAGTATTTCCCAAGCTCTCTTACAAAAAACACTTTTACCTGGTTCACAACTTTACCTCGAAATTTAATTCACACTTGGGCCCAGTTAGAACGTTTATTTCATGAACAATTTTATATGGGACAGACGAAGATTAGTCTGAAGGAATTGGCTAGCATAAAATGAAATTTTACTGAGCCAATTGATGATTATTTAAATAGATTTCGAATTCTCAAGGCAAGGTGTTTCGCGCAAATACTAGAGCATGAGTTAGTCGAAATAGCTACTGGTGACCTAGATTATTCCATCAGAAATAAATTAGACACTCAGTACCTAAGGGATATGACCCAGTTGGCCGATAGAGTTACATAGTTGGAACGTTTGAGAGAAGAGAAAGTGAGGGTAAATAAGAATAAAATGATAGCCTATGTCCAATTCAACAAAGACGACGAAGGGTCGTGCCGTGAGTCTATAAGTTTCAACGAAAACGAAATAGATCTCGTCGGATTAAAAACGGTTCACCCTATTCTTGCAAGGTTTTAACACCTTCAAATGGGAAGAACCCTACTGAGTCAGATAAGAATGATAGGTTCCCTAAGAGAACTTATACATTCGATGTCACAAAGTGTGATGAAATATTCGATTTATTAGTTAAAGATGGGCAAATGATAGTACCTCCTGGTGCTAAGATACCCCCTTTAGATCAAAGAAAGAAAAGAGGATTTTGCAAATACCATAATTTTTTGGGTCATAAAACCTCTCAATGTTTTCTTTTTAGGGATCTTGTGCAAAATTCTATCCTAGAGGGGCGATTGAAATTTGGAGAGAAGCTCAAAAGTCAGACAATGATGTATGTCGAGCCTCAACAAACCGCTGACGCACACTATACTGAGCCTAAAGAGGTTAACATGGTTGAGGTCACTCAGGACTTCCTTAATGAAGTTGTTCTGGTTCGAGTCACTGAAGAACTTGGTCGAAATTTTTTGATGGATTTTGTTCAAGAAGCAACTAAAGGTTTCACCCAGGAGACTACTGATGGTTTCAACAGCGAAGTCAGTGATGATTTTGCCAAAGGGGTTGTTGAGGACTCTAACCGAATGATACTAACGAAGGAAACCACTAACAGTTTAATTCAAATGGATAAGGCTACTGATGGCCTTCAGATGCAGTTTTGCAAGTTAGACATCGCTGATGATGTCGACATGGACATTAACATGGTGGAGGTTTCACAGGAAACTCCAATGAAAGTCGACTGAGAGTGTCGGCAAGAGGAATACAACAAAGTGGCCTACCCGAAGAAGGAAGAAAGCCTTATCGAATTTCTTCACAGGTGCCAAAATAAAAAGTCTGAGGTGATTTTGTGCCCCAGGTGCAGTGTCGTGTTCGATAAAAAAAACGGCATGCAACATAGAAGGTGTTAGAAAAGCAAAAGAGATGCGTGAGCAAAGGGCCTGTTACAACCAACAGGGTTTCGACCCACGAAGATCTACTTATAGGAAGGACGAAACTAGGCCAAGCGTGCCTGGGGTTAGGCCATCCACGTTCAAACCTACTGCAGAAACTTCCAAAGGAAGTTGGATAAGGCCAGCTAAGGGCAAACAACCGGGACAAAAAAATGGCAGAAATTTGACATCGGCAGAGGCTCATTAATAGCCTACCGTAAGGAGTTCGAGGCTTCGAAGAAGATGACCTATGTCTCAGAAAATTACAAGGGAAAGAATCTAATGTCTCAATCCCAATGGAGAAGAGAACAACGTAGGAGAAAAGCCCAAAGGGAAGCTGAAGCTAAGCCTGAGACCAGCACTAACATGCCTCCTATGAAAGAAAAAGATGAAGAACTAAAGCCTTTTGACAAATTGCTTGTGGGGAGGAAACTATTTACTACCCAGGGGAATGAGGCTAAGGAGAGGCATGATTGAGAAGAAGATGAAATGCTTACAGATAAATTTGACTCTAGGTCAGAGGATTCTTTAGATATCATAGTAAACGTGGTATCAGTTATACCTAAGGAATTCGACCAGATCACTGAGGTCGAAGATCTAGATATGTATACGGAAGCAGAAATGGTGGCACACAAACCAGCGTGTTACTATGTCATGAACAATCGGTGTGTCGAATAGCAGAACGCATACGAGATAATGGAATCAATAACATTCTCAATCAACCAATTCAAATAAAGACCACTTTGAATTAACCGGTTTCCAATGAATTATAGATGATAGAATTGAATTGACAATTTTATGAACAGTTTGTGTGCGATCAATGTGTCGAACACTTGGTGTGCAAAACACCCAAGTTCAATTTCCTTTGAAATGCTAGTGCAGAATTTTTCACAATTGCAATCAAAGTGATTCTAATGATTTTTCAAAACAGTTT